TCTACAAGACGTGCACATTTTGAAGTGAAATTCATAACCTATTGTTGCATTAATAAAGAAATAAAAAAAATGTACATTTTTTTTGAGAATTTTCTTCGAAAACATCAAGGTCTTATTTTTATAAGACATCACAAGAAACTTACAATTTAAATTCAAGACATTAATTGAAGTCATGTAGATTAAGGGAGTCACTTTTAATTAAGTTTGTTTACGTAAAAAAATAAGTATTTGCTGAAGGATGTAAAAAATTATATAATAGAGAATAACTGCAAATATCTAAGTACACTGCAGATGTATACCTGCCATAGCATGATTCTGCATTGTGTTCTCTCCCATGTAACTTATTATTCACAAACTAGACTAGTGTTTTTTTTATTGAAATCAGTGCCTTTATTACCACCTCACCCTCGCCAAACACACATCAGAGTTTTCATGATAAAAATTATCGTGAAATATAGATGACCTTTTCTCCTTTCATTATGTAATGTCACTGTGTGTTAAATACTCAATGAAACAATTCACATCGCCAGGCACTCCTGACATAAACACATTTATGAAATGTTGACAACCTAGTTAAAGTATCTTTTTATGAATTTTTCTTCAAAGTCGTGGGCATTGATGGTGATCAGGGATCCTAGTCTTCATGGGGTGAATGTAGTGTCACATGTGTTTGCGAAGGCAAAATAACAAGACTGTGATGGGATCAGTATTATAGATACAAGTATTTGTATCACTCCGAAATGCCCTGGTGAGTCTATAACAATATACCACATTTTGTATATGATATGAACAGATAATAATAATAACTTCATTGACAGTTTATCCCTTTTGGGATATTCATCAAATACAATAATCTGAGATGAAAAAGATACACAAAAATTTAAGACATAAAATAAAGAAAGAGAATACAAACTAGATTTACAAAAGTTAATAGAGAAATCTATTAGATTTGATACTGTAATACATTATCATAAGTATTTATATCCATTTATGTAGACGAAAATAAAAAAAAAAATTGTTTTTTTTTCTCAAATTTCTTAGCATTAGAGGAAAGCAGATATTCATTTCCTAAGAAACCAATAAACAAAAGAATATGCAATAACTGTGATACAAATTCAATTAAAGATAAAGAACATTTTCTATTGAATTGCCCAAAATATAACACACACAGGGAAAACTTCATCCAAAAAATTATGTTACTACTTTTATCCAAAAATAAAAATATACAGTTCACATATATACTCTCCCAGCATAATTAAAGAACTTGCCAATTATATTTACACAACACAAAGATTTATTAACATTTAAATACTAGTTACGTAATTTTTTTTATAATATTTTTACATATATCTTGTTATTATTTTGAAAATCTGTTTTGCTGTACTTATCCTATGTAAACCTTTTTACACAGAGGCAATAAAGTTATTATTATTATTAGCAAATATAACAATGTCAATAACTTGTCATAGTTGTTATAAGTTATATGTCATAGTTTTTAGCTCTGCTGTTGACGAAGTCGAGCGTGACTTATAGTATTACTGATTGTCCGTCGTTCGTCGTCGCCGTTCGTCAACTTTACATTTTCGACTTCTTCTTAAAAACCACAAACTGTATAGCTGTGAAATTTTCTAGGAAGGTACCTTGGGTGGTTCTCTCTCAGATTTGTTCATTTCGTGTGGATATGTACAATTATCTTATTAATAGTGAATATTTTTGTCATTTTTGGTCGAAAAACGCTTCTTGGAAACCGCTAGTCCAAATGCTTTGATACTTGTAGGTATGTGGGTGGACCTCTCTTAGATTTGTTCATTACGTGATGATATCTTCATTTCTCTAATTTTGATGAATGGGTAGGATTAAGTTTAAATTGCTTCTCAGTCATTGCTTTCAGAGCATGCATCACAAACAGTGGAGCTATATCAGCCGACAGACTGCTAGTTGTAATTTTTGGTCAAAAATGTTATTTTCAACTTCTTCTTGAAAACTTCTATTCCGATTGCTTTGTTACTTTTTTTGTAGGTACCTTGGGTGAATCTCTGTCAGATTTGGTAATTTCATGGTGATATCTTCAAATCTCTAATTTTAGTGAATATTTGTGTAATTTTTTGTAAAAATGTTATTTTCAACTTCTTGTTGAAAACCTCTAACCTGATTGCTCTGTAAATTTATTTGTGGATTTCAGTCAGATTTGTTAATTTCTTGATGATATCTTCAATTCTCTAATTTTAGTGAATATTTTTGTCATTTTTGGTAAAAAATGTTATTTTCAACTTGTTCTTGAAAACTTCTAACCTGATTGCTTTATAACTTTATTTGTAGGTACCTTGGGTGGACCTCTGTCAGATTTGTTCATTTTGTAACCATATCTTGAATATGGTTGAATATTTTCAGCAAATAGGTTTGTCATTTTTGGATAAAAAATGATATTTTCGACTTGTCCTTCAAAACCTCTATTAGATTTGTCCATTTTGTAAAGATATCTTCAATTCTCTACTTTTAGTGAAATATTCTCTGCAACAAAATCAAGAAAGTTGATGTCTTA